CACATCAAATTATATGATTTGCATATGTGTAGTGTATTGTGTGTCCATTAAACTTCAATAACAGTGTTTAATGAAGAAGGAGGAGGAGGAAGGAAAAGAAGGAAGAGTGGAAGGAAAGGGAGAACTAATGAAGAAGCCCGCCTGAAGGAGGAAGACACAGCAGCGGTGCGGTCACCAGGGACGTGAACTGAAGGGTTTGTGAAGCCCCATTTCTGAGAGTCTCTTTCTGAATGGGTCAAAAAGAAGCCTGTGTAGAGAGTTTGGGGTCGCCTAGTCATAAAAAGAAAGATGTGTTTGTCTAAAACAGGACACAGGACAGACAGCAGGAGCGATATCTCTGACAGAAGAAAGAGAACGAGTTGTTGAGGTGGTGATAGAATGCTCTCCCTCCCGAAACATAGTTAAGGTGTTTGTTGACTTCACAACAACCCCACTGACGTTGTCTTGAGATAATAACCAAGGCAGAAGTAAAGATACCTTTGCTTTTAAAGCGTACTGTTAGCTTCTCCATTCCTATGAGATAATCCCAGCCTCAACACTTTCAAGGTTCATATGGGGTGTCTAACCATTATCACCCACCTCCTGCCAAAGAACAAAAGAGGTAGAGTGTGGATTCCTTTGGGCTGAGGTGATTAGCACTGCTCCTTGCTGCCCCAGCTGACCTCCAGAGGTCAGACCTTCTGAGCCCCTGCCTGCTTAGACCTGCCCTAGCTTCCAGACATTTCCAGGATCCCTTTCGCATCACAACATATCCATGCACTGGTATGACATAAGGAAACTCAAATTTAAATGGTATTGCTAACCAAAGACATTTAGGAAAACAAGAGACCCGAACCCTAGTTTATATTTATTTTACTCTTATTCCTTTTATTTACTTATTCATCATTTTTTTGTTTGTTTGTTTTTTTAGCAGAGACCATCTCCAATTTGTGGATAAACCCAGTTACAAAAGGCAGCTTTGATACTTCTCCAGGGCAACTATGCCACCAAGGAAACCGCTGGGAGTCGGGTGGGGGAACAAATG